TTTGATAACTTCTTATTTGATATGATTTTAGGGTGTTTTTGAACCTTGTTTACTTGATAAATCGGTGTTTTGGCACACTTTTACTCTATTATTATGCCATTTTTGTGTATCCTATGCTTCACGGGTTGTTAGTGTTTTTGTTGAGATTTTAGGACTAAAGACAATCAATTGAACCCTATGGATGATAAACCGAGGTTGGAAGCAAGAAGATGATGGAAAGAAGCCAAGGCGAAGGAGCCTAAATCAAGAAGAAAGAGAGAATTGCAGTGGAGCGGCCTCTCCAAAGAGTGGCGCGACCTCTCCTTAGGCACGACCTCTCCAGGTCAGTGGAGAGACCTCTCCAGGTCAGTGGAGAGACCTCTCCACCTCGCTACTGTAGCTACTGCCTCCCTTGGCAGATTCAAGGAATTTTGTGAGGAGAGACCTCTCCACCTGGCGCGCCCTTTCCACCTATTTGGAGAACCCTCTCCACCCCGATGTTGAAGTTCATACCTCCTTTGGCAGATTTTAAAGAAGGATGTGGAGAGGCCTCCCCAACATAAGTGTGCGGCCTCTCCACCTGGGGAGCAGCCTCTCCACCTTGCTACTGGGCATTCTGCCCCAATTTCACCAAGTTTGGAGTGGCCTCTCCAAGCCATGGAGCGGCCTCTCCAAGCCTTGGAGAGGTCGCGCCCGATAGCTTCTACGATTTTTCTTTTGCGGAGTTTACTATGTAATTGGAGGTTATAAATAGTTTTGGGGGTTCTTTTGTACGGATTCAATTTCCTAGAGTCCTTCCTCTTAGTTTGTAATTTAGAACATCAAAAACTCTCAAATCATTGCTTAGTTCTTAGTTCTTAATCTTGAAAATTTCAATTCAATCATTGTAGAAGACAAGTTCTACCATTGTTATTCTAATTTGAAGCTTCTAGCATTTATTTCTTACTCTTCTCTTCTATCTTCTCTACTTGAATTGCTAATTGTTATCTTAATTCTTGTATACTTAAGGTTGTTAATTAGTTTAATTCCTAGTTTAAAACTTGTTCATGAATTGCTTGAAATCTTTAATTACTTTAATTTCCATGGATTGTGAGTAGTCTAATTTTCTAGGGTTTAGGTAAAACCCTCAATGTAGTCAAAAAGAATTTGTTGCAATTGCTAATTTGGTAATTGTTGGGTGTTAATTAGTTGAGCTTAAGTGGTTTCATTGCTTAGTTCTTGTATATGGCCATTGCTAGAACTATTTATCCAAGCTTTCTCAACGAAAGATCGAGAGATGAACTTGAGTTAGCTCATGTCATCGTGATTATGCTTTAACACTTGCTTTATGCTTTGTAACCATGATAGTAGATTGTATTCATGATTCAAGTAATCCCTCTAGCTTGAGAGAGTAGTTGGGTGCTTTAGATGACTTCCCCTATGTTATCTCCATAATTTACCTTGATTGTTGCATGCTAATTGTGATTTGTGATGAAGTTGAGTGGTATAACCCGTACCCGAGCCCTAGATTCCTCTAAATATTGTTATTCTCCTCTTAGCTTTTAATTGGATTGAACGAGTAGAAGTTACTTAAAACCAAACCAATTTCTACTTCATTAAGCTTATTTAAACGGTAGTATCTCGATGGTTAATTCAACGCCTCTCTTGGGTTCGACCCTTTCTTACCCTTGATATTAGTTAGTGAGACCAAGATAGGATTTATCTTTGGTAGGCTCGACGACGGCCTATCACCATTGGGTGATCAATATATCACTAGATGATCAAATAGTACCACTGAACATTCAGTGGTACTATGTATGTATGTAGTGGTACTATATATTCATTTAGTGGTATTAACTACGTGTAGAAATAGTATCACTACATAGTCAATGGTATTATATAAGGTTTTAGTGATACATTTAAAAGTGGTCCCGCTTACCCATCTCTCTCCTCCTTTCTCTCACCCCCATGAGCTTTTCAATATTTTAGTATTTGTTTTGTATTTGCAAATGCATATCAACCCTGCATTAGTACTTCCTCCACCTCTTGGGTATTTTCACCTTGGGGCAATTTGATGTTTGCTATTGGGTGAGTATTTATACCCCTCTCTAAAAACCCTCTTCCTACTTGATTTTCCTTATTTACCCTTAATGAATCCTACTCCTACTCAAAGTAGGTGTTGACTTTATTTTTAAATCATTTTGACTTTAAAACTCGTTTGTAAATTAAATATGCCCCAAAGTTTGTAAATATAGAAATAAAATATTTTCAAAAACCATATTAATAAATTATTGATGGATTTTTATTTAAATACACCTTTTAAAATATTAAAATACAATGAATAATTCATTTCAAATTATTTAAATACGTTCATAAAGTATTACTTTAATTTATAAACCATATAAAAATACAGGGTATTACAATTGGAACATTTAATATTTTTCCTATGTTATATCTATGGTTTAATAATTGAGATGTCCAGGTTTTTACTTTGAACCATTGTAATTGGAGAAACAGATTCATTATTGGTTTTTTTTTTTTTTTTTTTTTTTTTCTATTTATTTAGCAATTGGCTGCTAGTCGTTTCTCTTGACTTGTCTAACCTATTTGTATTGGTTTTTTTTGTTGGTTGTTTGATGGTTGGCTCTTAATAAATATGTATGATGAAGCTGATTGTTGGTTGCTAGTTGTTTTATACAAAAATTTCAAAAGCCAACATGCAACACAAAAAAGCTAGCCTTACTAGCTTTTAGCTTTTGGCGAAAAAGCTGGCTTTTTAGCCACCAAAAAAGCCAAATAACTAAACATATATTTTGGTTGTTTAACTACATTCAAAAGGCCAAAAGCTATAGGGAAAGCCATGTAAAAGTTGTTTACCAAACAAGTCTCATGTATATATTAGTTTGGCTTGTGAATTGTATGATTTTTTGTAATTTTGCTCCTTATTGATTTTGGAGTTGTATGATAATAGAGGGCTATATGCATTCATTGTCTTGATGTGCTCAAACATGTTCAACGGTTATTGGCGGAATTATTTTATAAAAATATTCAATTTGTATTGCATTATTACCTCGATGAGTACTTACTAAAAATGATATATTTGCTTTTTAAAAATAGAGTTGTTAAAGAGGCAGCCCCTGTTTCTTAATATGAGAAACAACCTATGTTTCTCAACATGAACAGTGTGTTGAGGCGTTCGAGACACGTGTGATTATTGTATTTTTTTTTTTTACTTTTTTCCATTTCCTTCTTCCCCTTCTTTCATCTTTTACCTCAGGTCTCCACCCTTAACCAACCAGCCTCCATCTTCTTCCGCCAATTCCAACCCATGACCACATTCATTGAAGCTACTCGAGCTTTCCTCTCGTGAACCACCAATTCTACCACCATATTTTCGACAGTGACAAAAAACCCTAAGAAAAAATGGCAAAATGAATGGCATGATAACCCCAAAGGGTAATGATATCATCCTTTTCCATTGACGACCCTTGCCATGTTCAATTACTATAATGAAGTTTCTTCGTTTATCCATTAGCAACTTGACGTTCTCAGTTTCCAATGAAGGCTTGGATCTGTTTTTGCTTGAAAATACATATTTTTTAAACAAAATTCCAACATTAATCCAACTTATTGATTGAAAATGACGAATTTGCCATGTTGAGATATGTGAAGGGCTTCTCATGTTGAGAAACTTGTATTTTCTCGTAATTAAATGCTCTCTAATCCATATATAAAATTATATATTTTTATGAGTCGAGTATGAAAGCATGGTAAAGTAGTAGTCAAAATGGTAAGACTACTAATTCGTATTTTATAGCTGTTGAGTTCAAATCTTATGAAGGAATTTATTGATGGTACACCATGCCGTGAGCATAGACATACACATATCCAATTGTGCACATTATTCAACATACACATTTTTATACATTATTACTATACCATTTTTTTTTGTAGAGAGAGCCACAAAGGCAAATGATATAATTGGAATTTATTACAATAACACTAATATTATTTATAAATTTTATACATAGTATTATTTATCCTTTGTGTCTACAATACTTTGAACTTGACTTATTCAGTTGGTATTAGATAGACCATAGGTTGATGTCATACTTTAGATACCACCAAATATATACATGGACATGTCTAACATACAGATAGATCTAATTCATCTTACTAGTATTACGTACTCACAAGTGTTTGGTCATATACTCATATTCAAATCTATGCTTGGTCCAACATTGATGACCATTTTGGTGTATCCAATATTGTATTTGGCAACATCCTTGATTCTCCAGATCTGGCTCAAAATTCACAGAATTGTTCATCATCTACCCCAATTGATATTGTTCATCGTTTTATTTCATCTCCATCACTTCAAGCAGCTTTTATGGCCTGAAAATGTTCAGCTCTTAGTCTTCAACACCAACATAACACTATAGACGACCAACAATACCACCTTCATTTTCATATTTGATCTAAAGTCATATCTTAGGCAGATATGATACGAATATAATTTCAAATCCACCACATACCCACTATCCATAACGAGTATGACTTTTGATAGGCATACTCACCCATCATGCATTAAAATCACACGGTCATACCCATTACCCACTCCAATTAAGGCAGATATAATGTAAAATCCACAAAATTATACTCACCTTTCCATCCCTACATGCAAATATTTGACCGAGGGGCCGTTTAGTTCGCTGTGATGGGGAAAGGGAATGAGAATGATTACCTTTGTTGGTGTTTGTTTCCCTTTTTTTGTCATTTTCATTCCCCCTTTTTATTTTTGGGTTTACCCAAAAGCCTCCTAATCTCATTCCCCACCCCCTACCTTTCCCATTCCCTTTCCCCAACCACCACCATACCCCATCAGCTGGATGCACCTCGCCGGAACTTACTGTACCTCGCCGAAACTCGCTTCACCTCGCCAGATGCTCGCCGGCCTTCCTCCGACCCTCGCCGCCCTTTGCTGCCCCTCCTCCCACCTGAGAACCCTTCTCCCGACCCTCATGTAACCCTTAAAAACCCTCCCCTCCACCGGAACAACCAGTCGCACCTCACTAGGTCGGAGGAGCGGCGGCGAACAACCGTCGGAATTGCGGCCCAACCCTCGGTGTTGCTGGGGAAGTTTGATAGCTGCGTTTTGGTCAGGATTCGGTCGGGATTGCTGAGGTCGAGGACGAGAAGGGTTCCGGTGTGGATTGCTGTTCGACGGACCTCACCAGGTCGGGGGAGGGGCGGCGAAGGTCGGAGGAGGGACGACCGGTTCCGGTGTGGTGTTGGTTGGGCGGTGTGGTGGCTAGAGAAGGTGGAAACTAATGAAGGAAGGGGTGCAATGGTTGTGCTGTGGTGTATCTATGGTGGTTTTATTCCATTCTCCTCCATTCTCACCAAACAACACCCTAAATTATAAGAGTTTCATTTCATTCTCCTCCATTCCCTTTCTGCCTTCCATTCCGATTTTCTTGTGCGAACCAAACGGCCCCTAAATCCATGGACGGTGGTAAATTAGTAATTGAAAAACAAATAAAACGATTCCTCAAACTATGGCCTCCCTCCCATGCGTTTCACGAGTCCTTTAAAAATCTCAATTAATTAAATAAAATCCAATCTACAATACATTTGTTAATTGTTATCTCAACTCCAATAATTAATCCTCTTAATCTCCACTCAATCATGCTACTATCTTCTTCATCATCTTCTTCCTCCCCTCTTCATTCATTCCTCTGGTTCTATCTATGGATTCCATTACTATCTTCCTCACTTTCCAACCCCTTTACTTCTGCAGATTCTCACAACAACATCATGCTTTCAACTGACCCAGATTTCTCTTCCCCTTCAAAATCTTCTTACCCCCACCATTTTCATTCTTCTGATAGTTGCTCTGCTCCTGATCTCCACCGCCCTGTTATTGGGATTCTATCCCACCCAGGCGATGGCGCCTCGGGTCGGCTTATGAATGGTACCAATGTGTCTTACATTGCTGCTTCTTATGTCAAGTTTGTTGAATCTGCTGGTGCTAGAGTTATTCCTCTTGTTTATACTGACCCCCTTGATATTATCATGAATGTAAGTTGGATGAATTTGATCATTTGTTTGGATGAAGAGCTACTTTCTCCGTCTCTAAAAGTTTTTCTTTTTCTTTTTTTTTTTAATGTTTTTGTGGCCCCTTCCAAATAGGAAGAACTTTTAGAGATAAGGAATAATAGGGGTGAATATGATGGGATGACTTGGTATGAGATAAGAGTTTCATTTATTTTTATTTTTAATTTTTTATTTCTGGGTTTTATTTGATGATCGTGGAATTAGATGATTTTTTTATTTTTTTTTGGTAGAAAGTTACTGAATGTTTGACTTTTCAGATATTGTGATTTAGTTTGATGTTAGTTTTGTTATCTATGTGTATATTGATCCTTATCCAGTTATCTAAAATTATTGGGAAAACAGGTTTGTTTTGTGCCATTTAATGATTAGAATTTTATTGGGTATTTTGAGATTGTTTAATTTATAATTTCTTTCTATGTTAATGTATGTTATCTATTTGTGTTGCTGCAGAAACTGGAGTTAGTGAATGGGGTGCTTTTTACTGGTGGATGGGCCAAGCAAGGTTTGTACTTTGAAGTTGTGCAGGCGATATTTAAGGTATGAAATTGCTCACTTAATTGTTTTTTGGGTTGTTTTATGTCTTCTGCTTAAGAATATATGTGCATGCGCGTACACACACTTGATGTTTGGTGATGTAGCTGAAGTTAGTTTGTTGTCTTCTCTTCACCAGTCCATTGTTTTCCTATTTGCTTCTCTGGGAAAATAAGTTCTGGATGTTTGTTACACGGTAAAGTATGTTTATACTAGACATTATAATGATTTGTTCTATTCGCCTAAAAAATAGAGTTTCAGGAAGCTTAAGTTTAGGTAAGGTTTAATTAGTTTAAATAATGGATAAGGGCTAAGAAGTTTATCAGTTGAAAAGATCGATCCATTAATGTAGGAAGATTTCTGACAACGATTCTTCGAGCTGAAGCTTGAGAAATGACTCAAACCAATATCTTGAATTCTCGTGCCTCAATGCCTTGTCAAGTTACTCATGGTGATGATGGTATCATTTTAATAGATCTTCTTTGTCATATGGGAAGGTGGCTCCTTGTGCAAGTAATGTTGCAGATAGTTAGCAACTTGTTTTTACTTGGTGTATGACTGTTTCAATTTGCTCATTTTCCTACATTTGTTTTGTAAAATACTTAATTCTGGGGGTCAAAAGAAAATTGCAGCTCCAACTGCCTGATAAAGGATTGAGGAAAGGGTACTTTTAAATGCCTCATCAGTTTCTGGATAGCTGCTTTTGATGTTGTTTGGGGCAGATGTGATCGAAATACATGGTTGGTCAAAGAAAGTAGCTGAATCAACTTCAATTCTTGTGCTATCATAAGTCCATAAGGATATACCTTCTATTCCGTTTGATATCTAGTTTACGCCCCCCCAAAACAATAAAATAAAATTCTCATTTTATTAATCCTTCAATATCCCAGGCAAGGACCAGACCTCACATTTTAAAAGCATTACTCTTTGGTTTGGAAGACAACATCTAAATTGAGACACTTTTCTCAGTTTGTGTATTATGTTGTCCTTGAATGTCTTCCCAGTGTTACCTAATACTCCACCCTCCCCACACCCCCCCCCAAGCGAGTTGTGTATTGGAAACACTTGTATTGGAACACACATTGTGGTAAAGTGGAACACTGCTGGACTAATTTAACATATTTAGGTTGGGAAAATGTGTTCTGTGTATTAAAACGCACTGCAGATTATTGTTATGAGTTATTTGGGTAAATATTCTCCCTCTATGCATGTGTGAAAGAGTGGAAAGATCAACTAGATGGAGTGGGCTTAATAAATTGACAATCAAGCATTAGTAAAATTTCAGAAGACAACAATACAAATGTTGTCTGCTCCAACTCCAAGGGGCTTGGGATAAGTCATTACTTTCTTTTCACTATCCATTTTAAATTGATATTTCCAATGAAAGCTGCATTTTGGTTTGTTCAGTAGGTTCTGTTATCTGGATTCTGCAGAAAGTGCTGGAGAAGAATGATGCAGGGCAGTATTTTCCTTGTTATGCAATCTGCCTGGGTTTTGAGCTTCTTACAATGATCGTCAGTAAGGTATTTCAGCTGCAGTTTACCTGCACTTATTTTAATATTTTTTCTTGCAAGCTATATTTCATTCTCCTAGAACATCTGCCTTAGTAACCATTAAATTATGTTATCTCAAATAAATAATTTAAAACTTGGATGAAGATTTTTCTTCATCCAATTATCCTTGCATATCCTCCTTATACTATGTGACTCGGACTTTTCATTTTACCTCAAGTTCCCATGTTAGATACTCAACATGTCATTGTGGGTATGGACACTTGGCACTTCATTTGTACATAAATCACGGAAACATGTCAGAAAATAAGGGAAAAGAAAAGCGGAGCACGTGGATATGTAACTATGGCTGACAATGTACCTTAGTCCGAAAAATTACCTCCAACCTGGATTACTAATTGGTCAGAATATAACTATTTTTCACATTCAAAACTTTCAGATAACAAGATGAATTATAATTTGTTATTAATATGAAATCAATATGTTAGTCCAATTGTTTCCATAAGAGCATGGTTTTAATTATTGGATGTAATTGCAATCCCGACAATGGTCATGGAATCAACTTTTAGGGAAATGCGGGTGGTAAGTGGGTGTTAAGGCCTAATAAATCAGTCGCAGTCAGCTTAATATTCTGTACAATGCTGTTGTGATGCAACTGATATATCTTTTCCCCATGCACGAGAGTGGTTTCTATAGGCCAATTATACAACCACTAGTATGAAGTATTACTTTGATTCAATGCTAAATTAAACATTTGCTAGTATATATTAACTGAAGCATGTTGACGAATTTTTGGTTAACTATAGGACAACAATATACTTGAACATTACGGTGCAAGTTTGCAGCCATCTACTCTTCAGTTTGTCGACAGTATTGGCGTAAAAGGAACTGTATTCCAGAGGTATACTCAAAGTACATATTGCACCATGTAACTGTGAACTGTGATATTGTTAGGGAAAAGAAGTTTACTCCCTTTTTTCTGTAATTTGGAAATTCTCAACGCTAAACATGAAGCACTTTTTGTTTTTGGCTGCGTGTTAGAATTCTATTTCTGATTTTTAAAGGTGAAGTTGACTGCTTAATCTTTTATTTACCTTTAAATTTTTTCGGGTTTAACATTATATATAATAATTGAAACATGACTTCTTGATGATAGTCATTATATACTTTGGGTGTAGAAAACAAAAGGGGACATCATTAATCATATTGTTTTATCTTTCATTTACACTTATGTCTTAGTATTTATCATGTCAATGTAATTTGAAGTACATATCAACTATCAAGGCACTAAAATAAATTTGATGTGACAAAGACTTAGAATTTCAACTGGGAGACTTTTAACTCTAATCCTAGCTCATTTCCTGCATCGTTTTACACTTGAGAGTAGAGGGGAGGGTAAGGGAATCCCTACCCCAAGCACCCTCAGTTGACAAGATTCGACCCCAAACCTCTAGGATATGAGGTAAGAACCTTACCAAGTGAGTGTAACCTTGCTTGGTCATCAACTGCTTGTAGTGATTGGGTATTTAAAGAGCTTTGTTGACATGGGGGCTTAGACAAAAAGTTCCTATCTGAACTGCATTGGATTATTGGAGTACCAACCCTGTTCAATTTCTTTTGTTGTTGCAGTTTTCCTCCTGAATTGCTGAGGAAGTTAAGCACAGATTGCCTTGTAATGCAAAACCATAAAGTGAGTATCACCATCTCCGTTATTTATATGACATTTATTGATGCTTAAGTTCCATTTCAGCTATCTATGTTTACTTTACATAGCTGTGCAATTTGAAAATTGAACTAGCATTTGCCCCGTGTGACGTACAGCCTATTATATATTATTAAAACTGGAGAATATGTGGCTTTTTTTTTATTTTTTTTTATTTTTAAATAATGCTTTTCTCTTGCGAAAATGGAAGAGCTTAAATGGAAGAGGAAGGAAGAAAGGAATAGGGACACATGTTGCTTGTGGTTTGTGTTAATATAATAACTCTCTTTCCCTGAGTATTCATTATTGTAGCTATGCAAACCTAACAAAAGTGAAAAGATGTGGGTTAGATAGAGAGTTAAAGGATTTATTAAATACATTTGGGTCCCACAAAGTGGGTAGATGATATAAAACAATTAAAGGTTGTCTTAAAAGGAATAAAGTAAAAGTTGTTAGGAAATAGAATAGAATAGATTGATTTAGGTTATGTGTTTGATATGCGAGACAACAATATATAAAACGTAAATTTGAGAAATAAAGTAGAATATAGATGAGATGAACACACAGATATACGTGGTTCGGTCAATATGACCTACTTCCACAGGGTAATGGATAATATATTCTTATTAGCTTTCATGGAGGATAAACAAGAGAGATAACGAAGGAGATATAACACTTTTCATCTCACAAAATCTCTAAAGTGAAGTTACATATTGACTTGAATTGACTAGGCTAATCAATATGAGCACATAAGCACTTTTAATTGTCCATGCAATGGTTCCTTATATAACATAAGGAAACCCTAGATTATTCCCCAAGGAATATCATTAGTAGCCGTCATAAGCATACCCGAAATTAGGTAACAAAACACGCTTGGCTGATCCTCGGTGAAGCACGGGTGTGCTGGTTTTAGGCATGGACGTGGTGCTAGGCGCGCGTGAAGAAATTCCAGTTTCGATAGTCTTTTGTAAAACGACCATAACTTTCTCGTTTCTTATTGGAATTGGGCTATGACCTATCGTTCGAAAGCTCTTGAAATAAGCTATCACCTCCAACTTGAATCACCTCATGATCACTTTTGGATTGAGAGATATTAGCGTTTGAAGTCGACCCAAACAAAAGTAACTAGAACTTAGCAAAACAAATGAAAATGGAAAGTGGATAGAACTTAAAACAAAGGAAGTACTTGGTTTAGATGTCTTATATTACACAAATTCTGTCACAAACCAGTAACCACCTTATAAGTTTCTTTTTTGTTAAAACACACCTAATTATATATATATATATATATATATATATATATATATATATATATATATATACACACACACACACACATACATATACATATATATATATACACACACATATATATATATATACACACACACACACACATACATATACATATATATATATACACACACACACATATACACATACATATATATATACATATACATACATATATATATATATATATATATATATTTTTTTTTTCTTTTTTTTTTTGTCAACAAACACCTTTACCTAGAATCTGATTGTTTAACCCACTATTTCGGCATTGACCACCCTACCACCGCCACTCACTCCATCTTTGCCCCCTTAACCAGTAACCACCTCAAAACCACCCCTCACTAGCCTAAAACCCTACACTAACCACCGGGAAACCGCCAAGCGCCCACCCAACCCGAAACCATCTTTGCTGGTTAAAACCCCTCCCTAACCACACAAAAACCACTGTTGTCACCCCGACACCACCACTCACGAACCAAATTGCCCACCATAACCACTCGAAAACTGCTCCACCCATCCCAACGACAAAAATATTGGGCCGGAGAGGGGTGGTTTGAGGTTGGTTGGAAGGTTTTCGGGTGGTCAGGGTCGGGTTTTAGGGAGAGAGGGGTGGTTTTGGGTTGGGTGGGTGGCTTCCGGTACTTAGGGTGGGGTTTTGGACTAGTGAGGGGTCGTTTTGGGTTGGGAGGGTGGTTAGGGTGGGTGGTAGGGCGCAAAGCTGGTGCTAGTGAGGTGGTTAACAGGTAAAGGTGGTTGTTGACAAAGTAAAATTTAAATCAGGTGTGTTTTAACAAAAAAATAATAATTTATAAGGTGGTTTGGGACATAGTTTGTATTTTATATGGTGGTTTGTGACAAATTTTCCATTTGGAAATTATGCATCTTTAATTGCTATAGATTGCTAGCCACTGTATTTTCTCTGTATAATTTGGACAATTGGGGAGTTAGTCGTATTTTGCTACTGAAGGCTAGATCTTTGATTGACAAGGGTGGTATTTTTTTGGCTTCATTCCTCTTTTTGAGTGTTTCCTCTCTTAATTCCTAGTGTTCTGACTTCTCGTTTAGTGCATTTGTTGTACAGAAAAATGTGTTGCACATGTTACTTCAAATGACTTCTTTGTTCTATGATAATATGATGTGTGCTTTTCCATTCAATTTCTACTCCTAAATTCTAGGTATTTAGCTTGGCACCTTTAATATTAGATAACCTCAAAATCTTTGTTATTTGGACTCTTCATCTGACATTGAGTACCGGTATCGGATCTTCGATATTCCAATATGTGTATGGACACTTGGACACTTCATTCTGGTTTAAATCATTGTTAATATCCCAAAATAGCCAAGCCAGAGCTACTGGACATTTGGGGACTTATCCGTGTCCCACACATTCACCCGAGTGTGTGTAACAATGTAACATTGCTCACAATAAGTAATGACAAAATGAATCTATCATAAATAAAGCAGAATTTGCAATGTGGCAATCTGGCAACTGCTGTTTCATTCTTAGTTGACAACTAAACCTCTTTTTAATGTTGTGCCTGATTGAATTTTGATTTAAGATATGAAATTAGATAATAATGAAATCATGAACACCTTAATCCCATTAGTAGGGTTGGCTACATGAACCAACATGAGGACTTTCAGGAGGTCACCCATCCTATTAACATGAGGACTTTCAGGAGGTCACCCATCCTATTACTACTCTCAATCATTGTGGCTCATGTCAAGCCATTATAAAAAATAAATTTGGTACATTGGTAGCTTGGCAGCAAAGTTAATTTTCAAGTTGTTTTTTCTTTCTTTCTTTTTCTTTTCCCCTGAGTGAGTTGAATCACCATAGGGGAGGTGATGACACAATTCATCCCGTGGCTTGAATTCATTATGATTTTATGAATGTATTAGGATATGGTTAGAAAGAAGTCTTATGCAAGCATACCCCCTATGCCCCTTCACAATTTTGAACTTTTTTTGAATTGTTTTAGGTTTTTATTTTTATTTTATTTTTATTTTGACGGTTCCTTGTGACGATTCATGGTAGCCGGCCCCAAATCATTTTGGGACTAAGGCTTTGTATAGGGATGTTTCAAAATAACTTCACACTTCCTTTACCAGTAAACCAACATCAATCATTTTGTGTATCAATTACCATTGTTAGTATCATTTTGACATTCCTTGAAGCTCGTTAATTCTTTTGCTAAAACTTATCTTTTTTTTTTTTTTTTTTTCTTTTTTCTTTTTTCTGCCAAAACTACCTTTGGTTTAGAATGCCCATGTTGTTAATGTAATCCAGTGTCTGATATATGTGTTAATGACCTCTCAGAGGCAAGTATGATGCCATAAGCAAGTTTTATAATCCCATCTAAGGTGAGGACCATAGACTGTAGTCTCTAATTTGTTTACACCATGAGTGTGTTAAATGTAAAAATTAAAGCTGTTAAGGACTGTTGCATAAGAGTTTCTAAAATGATGACAAGGATCAGTCGAGTTATGGATACTTATGCTTGTTGTCAATATGCATTTTCTCTTTCTTGTTTGTTTCATAGTCTTTCGTTGCACCTTTATTTCCTTTTTCACCTTTTGTTGCTAGTATTGCCCATGCATTTGAATGGCTTTTCCAATTATTTGCTTCTGCAATGCAACAGTTTGGTATATCACCTGAAACACTTCGTGGGAATCAACTCTTATCAAAATTCTTTGATGTCATAACAACTAGCACAGACAGAGATGATAAGGTGTGACTTTTTAGTATTGATTCAGTGATGATTATCTACACTTTCTTTTTGTAGTTTTTTGTGTTTAGAGGCCTCATAGCTTTTGTACTATTCAGGTTTATGTCTCAACCGCAAAAGCACAGCACTACCCTATCACTGGTTTCCAGTGGCATCCGGAGGTAATTCTTTTATTGCCTGTGTCTGGTTCTACATGCATAAATGAACAGTTTCTGTTGTTCTATTGTCCTTCCTACCCTTACCGTTACCCATACCCCTATCCCTAATCCTTTTAAATTTAAACCCATCAATATACATCTCTATAGAGATCAAAGCAACAGTACAAAGTATACGACAATCAGCAGTCTCGAAAGAGCTAAGACACCGACCAAACTATGCTTACAAATCAGCAAAAAATTTATAATATACTTGAGGACTGAAGAGAGCTGCTGTATGTATCCACTATGAATTATTAGGAAACCACCTGATCCCATATGCGATTTAAAATCTACATTAATTGGAGTTATGGCCCCATTTTTTTTAGACTTTTCACTTCCTCTAGTACTCAAGTTGATCCTCGACATTCTTACATGCGTGGACACAACACACTTCATTTTGGACCAACATTATGGAAGATATGAAACAGCCAAGTCTGCCATTTGGACACATGTCTACATCTAACAAGATTGCCCATGTCCATAAGACATGGGGAATGTTTGTGTAGTATCTTACCTACCATGCCCTTGCTGTTGTCAGCAGGATCCATTTTAGTTGGCTATTTTGTTGTCTCCTTTTCCTTCCTAATGGTAATGGGCAATGACAAAATGAAAAAAGAGAGTTCCTCAAGTGCCCCCATTTAGAAGGGTGAATGTTTGGGACTAGCTTATTGGCTAGGGCCTATTCTGTTCACCTTATTTTCAGTGTCTAATAATGTCTAATAAGTTAAGATAAGTTCAGGAAAAATAAGTTCAAATAAGTTAAGTTTAAGGGTTACTCAAGTTAAATTACAACTAAAATAAGTTTTAATAAGTTCAGATAAATTCAGTTGAGATAGGTTTAGTTAAGTTTAGATAAGTGAAAATCAGCTGAATAGGACACACCCTTAGTGCTAGAATAGCGTTATGCCAATTAAATTTAGTATTTTCTGCAGCCTCTCTATGGCATAGTCAAAGATGAAAATGCTCCGAGATGAAATTGTGTGAAATATTCCAAAGTCTTCGGGGTAACATCTTATTACTGTAGTGCTATTTTTTCCCTTGTCATCTCTACCTTTCTCTCAATTGATTTGGAGGCTTATTCAATCTCTGATATCGTGGATATATGACACAGTGGAAAGGCTTGGCTACAGTTAGGCCTAACATTAAGGCTCTGTTCTCTTAATCTTCTTTTTGTTTATTTCAGTTCTTATAAGATGAGAAACTTCAGATAAGATAAGGTAAGCAATTAAGCACATAAGGTGGCAATTTGCTTAGGACTAGAAATGGCATATTAAAAAGTGGATATATTATTACAACCTCCAGCTTGGTCAAATCAACCCTATTGTTGATTGCACAATTTCAATTGGCTGTTTATCTTGAATCTTCAATAATATATTAATGATTAAATTTGTGGCCCATGTAATGCACCGGTTATAATTCTATTATTGCAGTTCTGCTTTTCAAACTTGTTGCTTGGGAAATTTATTGCGTAGCTTTTTAAGGATATGATGATTGATCAACAAAAATTATCAGCAAATGTATGGGGTGTGGTGGCTTGTATTGTATAAGATAATAGAAGATAAGATAAGAGAAGATGAATGGATTTCAAGTGAAGAGAAACTACCCAAGTTTATGTTGAATGACAGGGTGAGAGTGTTTAAATATACTTCTTGTCTAACCCTGCTTTGTATTTTCCCAAAAGTTCCACATTTGCAAATCATCAGCCAAATCAGAAAAAAAAAAAAAAAAAGAACGAAAGAATGAAAAAGAAAATTGCTGATGCATCTTAAATAGAATAAAGTAAGTAATAAGATGTGGGCTTATTTGTTATTGCTAAAAAAAATTTCTCTTATTTGCCAATCAATCAATCAAAGCCTTAATCCCATAAGTGGGGTCGTTTACATGAACCAAAAGTGATTATTCCGTGTAGCCATCCACAAAAATCTTCCTCCTCCGTTCATTGCGATAATATACCTCATTCTCATGCAAATCTATATGCTTCATATCCTTCCTTCTTTCAACCAAGTCATTTTCGGTCTTCCTCTACCTCGTTTAACCTCTCCATGATCCCACTCTTCCACTCTTTGTACCGGTGTACCATGGGGTCACGTTTTACATGCCCGAACCAAAGCAGACAATTTTCCCTTGGTTTGTCTGCAATACTTGCAACCCCCACTTTATTGCAAATAACTTCATTTTTTATTCTATCTCTTAGAGTGTTCCCGATCCATCTTTACATGCGCATTTCCGTAACCTCCATCTTTTTAATGTGCTTCTTCTTAGAAGCCCAACATTTGGTACCATAAAGCAACACTGGTCTTATGGCAGTCCTATAGAATTTCCCCTTCAATTGTAAAGGAATGGTTCGGTCACATATAACTCCCGTTACCGCTCTCCATTTAAGCCAATTATTTATTATACTCCCTCCGTCCCAGAATATCTTGGACGTTGGACTTTTTTCACTATTCATGTATTAGCTTTGAGCATAATTTTTTACTAATATAATAAAAACATCTTTTATCATAAAATATGTCATTAGATAGGTATAAATATATAGTTTCATAATATAGTTTTTAAAATAATTTTCATTAATATTTAATTATATAAAAATAAAGTTAAACTAGTGTATTGGCATGTGCGCAAAGTTTGGACAGAGGGAGTATTACTACTGGTTCTTAAATGATTTTGCTAAATGATTTTGCTAAATGATTTTGCTTGTCCTTTTTATCAAAAACACTCTATAATGATATGATTAATGATGTACTGACCGCAGAAAAATGCATTCGAATGGGGCTATGCAATGATTCCCCATTCAGAAGATGCGGTTCAAGTTACTCAGAATGTTGCCAATTTTTTTATCAGGTAAATGCTGAAACATCATAACCATCTTAATTATTAAAGTTCTTGACTTCTAGCCATGTTTGTAGTCCCCATGTTTCTCTAGTTGGATAGCATTTGAGCAGTATGTTTCTCCTTGACAAGGAACATGCTAATTTTGATTGTTGCTCTCTCATTCTTGTTGAATCAATAATCTTGATTTTCAGAGGAATGCATCTTCATGTTAGTTTGTCTTTTGGTTGTTGGGTGAAAAGCATTTCATAACAAAGTTGAAAGCGGATGAAATTTAGAAAAAGAAGGGTTACTAAATGAGAGGGAGGCATTTTTTTTTTTCTTTTTCCTGGTATGATTACTTGCTTCAGCCACTTACTCAGGTTGGCTCCCGATTGGCCAAGTGGATTATCTTAGAGGAGATATAATCCAGATGAGATTCTCAGACTTGTATATAAGTATGTAAATTGCATGTTAGTCCATCTTGATCTCAGCCTAGTGTGGATTTTTTCGTCTTTGAAGGAGAGTCGACCTTTTTTAGGTCCAATTAGGAAGAATCCAGGAGACTTCTCGATAACAGAAGGAGAAAGTATGCTCCCATGCTTCCCTTCATATAATTGATCAACTGAAGATCTCTGATGAGATGGATATAATGAGATGGGATTCCTCTGGAATGTGGCTTGCAAAGAGAGGAGATAATCTCTCATTAAATTCTGTATTGTGGATTGCTTGCCTAAATCCATGCATTAGTCTAATCTGCACTAGATCTAAGCCATCTAACTGCATATGCATACTGATACCTGACAATCTCGACTCAACATGCTATTCACATAAAATGTTGGAAGTAAAAACTGTCTTTTATTTGTTCTTACATCATCCACATGACTGCACTCTTGGTGAATTAGTCCCAACAGTAATTTCCATTACCTGTTGTTACGGATACCATGATATAATCTCAATTATCCTTCTCCATCAATAGAAAATGTCTAGTCATGCGTTATGTGTTGCCAAATGGCTCCACCATCATGCTTCGCCTAATTCTTTTTGCAGTGAGGCAAGGAAATCTCCTAACAGGCCACCTGCGCAGGATGTGCTCAACAATCTCATATACAATTACAGTCCTACATACTGTGGCAAGCAAGGGTAAGCTCCTGTTGTATATTATACTTTCGTTTCCCGTTAGCAAAAAGCTTTTACTAATTCTTCTGTTTTGTAACAGGAAAGGATATGATGAGGTCTATATCTTTACATAACGAACTGCATCCATAATGGAAGTGTAGCAGTTTCTGTTGTACATTATCAATACAGGTGTTCCAAATGTAATTCGGAGTATCATTCTATTAGTCCGAATCCCAATTGATATTTGCTTTCACTCAATATTTTCTTTCACAAGTGAACATACAGATTAATGTTGGTGCAAATGCCCTCTCCCTTTACTAGTTGGGACAAAATGCATTGGATTAGCTATCCTTGTTATGATTCATTACAAAGTTTTTATCCACAATTTCTTTCAAGTTTTATCGTGAAACATTTTCTTATACCACGAGGCTTCGGCCAGTTCAAGTATCTTGGATTTTGATTTAAAATGCATGCATTCATTAGGAATTTTTGACACAAAACAGTCTTGATACAAATCACTTATATGAAATCCCTCTAATCAAAGGAGTTTTAGAGAAAAAAATTAAAATCAAACTACTCAATCTGCAAGTTAAACTTGAAAGTTATATTCATAATTTTGTTATTTTTCCAAATTACAATGTATGACAACTTATACACGAGTTTTTTCCATAGGTTTAAACAACTGTTGCTGATATGGTGTATACACTACATGGCTATCTCAAGCGACCGATCTAAGGTTTCTATAGCACACCCATGTTGGCCATGTATGGCATACCAGAACTAATATACATATCAGGCATTGCAGGTATTCTGTATGACGTCCTTGGTATTGTACCAAAAAAGTGTATTGTATAAGTGAAATTGGCCACCAAAACCTCTGTCTTCCTCCATTTTTGGACGATAAGTTAATAGCTGAGTTTCCCAAGGATCTCATGGCATGCGAAGCTATGTAGTTTCACCCAAGACACTGTTACACCGTACTCTTCCATCACCCATATTTCAGCAAAGAAAATCGGAAAAGAGCACTGATTTTATATTCACGTATATATAGATAAAGAAGTCCATATGAAACCATCAAATTACATCCTACGAATGGATTTCCCTTATTATCAGTCGGAAGTGAAATCTTGCTAAATTTTTCTATATAAAGATCGAAAGTAACTAAATAACCATGTCTTTGCTTGTGGCTACACCAGGGTAAAATATGTGATTGGACTGCGAAAAATCTGTGCTACGATCTTTCCATGAATTTGTACTTGGCTTGTACTATAAACATTAACTACCATGTTCGTCGAAAGACCTTTTTGGCAGTCTAGTCTAAATGCTCACAATCTTATATTCACCCCTTACACAGATTCGAATCCATAAGGTGCAGCATTGCTATCAGACTCATAATCAGCTCTTATGTTCATGGGAAAAATTTCCTTACAAATTTCATGAGTTAACGATTACACAAAACTAAATTCCCTAGCATCTTTTCTCTGCAAATCAATCAATTACAACATCCCAAAATAGTCGATGGTTTAAAGGAACAAGACCGTGTGTTTATCAAAACCTGCCTCCCACTTTTACAGCTCGGGGCACATCAAAGTAGGAGTAGCCGCGTAGACACCAACATCCTTTTAATTCGATACAACCGTACCAAGACCATGTCATCGGATTTCTCTTCATTAGGGACACGCTTATGATGGAGGTTGATGAAATCCGAACTATTTATTAGATTACAATTCACCAATCTTTCGAAACACATTTAAATCGCATTAGAAACTTGGCCAGAAGCCTTGTTGACATGTCGTAGAATATGATGTCTCTAGGCCGGTCGATCATGACACTTAGAAAACCATAGCTATGAAGACTTATGATTTTGACCGTTGATGAATCACATAATCTTTATTATACTTCGTATATGCCTTTTTTTTTTTTTTTTTTTTTTGGAATAACTATCCCATCACCTTCTTATACAATTAAGTGTCTCTAAATCAAGTAATCCTTAATTTTTAAAAATTCCAAGCAGTGATTTTAACAAATCATACCCTCAATCAATTAACTCAAAAAATCAACGAGATTATATTCTTTATTTATCAATCTTCTCATCTACAAATCAATAATTACGTGATTAATTCCTAAAAATATTCCTATAAATCAAATTGTTTCACTCATATTATGCATAAAAATATCCACCTTCTCTTCTTCTACTTTATCATTATTATTTTTATCTTTCTCTTATGTATGACCATGTGCTACATTTACTGTATAATGAATTGATCGGAACATTATTGTTAGTTATATCAATTGAATAAATATTAACTACATATGCACTCCAATGATAATTGAATCTTACTCTATTTGATAATATCTATCATCCAATAGGTTGGTTTACTTTTATTTATTGTTTTACTTTAATTATTTCAACATATTATTGGACCATCTTTATTCTTAACTTATTGGATTGTGATATTTATTAAATATCATGTAAAACTAATGATGTAAATTCTTTTAAGTAATGTGTGATGCATGCATAGAAAAACTAGCTAATATTAATAGAAGAGAGGACTTACATGGTCAAAGTATATTAGGACTTAAATGTTTTTAGGATATATAAATATTGCCTTTCTTTTGGCCTTTGACTTTCTTCACAACATTTGGGCGAGTTATACTTGCAAATTTGTAGCTACCATTATCACCGTCTCCATTGTTGTCAAAATCACGATTCGAATCGTACGATCCCATTTTAGCCAAATAATTCGGATCGGATGTAGAATCGCAGAATAAGCAGGATCGCTGTAGGATCGGTCAAGATCATACAGAATCAGGTAGGATCGTGTAGGATCGTACGAATCGTGTGGGATCGGATGATCCTGTTTTTCACTTAAATTATTATTGGAATGTACAAAATCGGTCAGGATCAGACAAAACCGTGTAGGATCGGTCAGGTACTTATTAAAATGAGCCTAAAGCAATCAAACTTTTCTCTAAGCTAAGAAAATTACTATCCAACTACTAAAACTATAAATTTTAGTATTTATATGGCTTAAAAAATGTTATCTAGTTATGTAGCAACCTTTTTATTACTCCTTTTATCAATTTTGTAGGAAATTACGATTATACAATCCGATTTTGCCGATTCGATCCTATTCCTCTCACCGATCCAATGTAGGATCGACAACCTTATCTCTACTTTTCTTACCACTACCACTTTTCTTTTCAAGCTTCATTTCTGTCTTATTTTCAACAGCAATTTTCTTCCTTATCCTTAGCTTACCTCGTGAACTTTCTCCATTGGTGGCGGATCCTAGAATTTTTCCTTATGGGTTCGAACTCTGAGAATTACGAACATAGAATAATTTAGTTAAATGATATAATCGGGATATATAATAAAATACTTCCTCTATTTCATACTTCATTTTAGTTGACATATTTTATATAGGCACGTTTGCCAACACATACTTTAGAATTTAAATATCTTCAATTACGTGTTAGCAAAACTATTAACAATAGGCGTTGAGACGTATTTAATAAATCCTCACCTGAATACAAAAAAAAAATAAAAAATAAAAATAATTATAAAAAATATAGAAATTACGCTAACAGGCTAGTACGAAATATAAAATATGAAGTGAAAGAAAAGGCAAAAAGGGTTTGGCGAGGGATTTGATCCCGCAACAAGTTAGTGAGAGTATTTCATTTAAAGTAGTAGTACTCGCGCTTATAACCAACTTATATTTCTCTTTTCTCCGATTGACGGATTTTCTCCCTGAGTCTAGCTTGGGTTCAGATGGACCCACTGAACCCATATTGGGTCTGTCACTGTTCTCCACTATGGATATTTGTTCACCATTTCTCAAACTTTCTGAAATTTGAAGTTTCTTAGCCATTTTTTGCAACACCTTCAAAAAATTAATGCGCGTTTTTTTAATAACATCTTCGTCGTGATTCCCACTTCTCGTTAATCAAGCAACTTCGTCTAACGCACTAGCCTAAGCTAGTAGGATTCCAACCATCCTTTTCCAATGACTCTCCTACATGTTCATTTTTCACTCCTTGGCTTAAATTGGCGAGCTTTTTGAGCCGCAACGTACAATCATGAATAGATCTCTTAAGGTCATCAAGTTTTAATTATATGTTTGCCAATAATTAAGTCTATGGAATGCTGAAAGTAGGTCAATCACGGTTATTTGTAGCAACTAAAAAAAGGCTGATTTCTCTTCACATGGATTTGATGTGACCATATGTGTTCCGAAGGGTATTAAAGTGTATTTGGATCAATTTCTTCACCATCTTCAATTAATTGATTGTTGCTTTCTTGATAAACTTGTAGAGAGTGCTCATAATTTTGAGAGGAATGAGGTGGCTGTGTGGAGAAAAAATAGGTACATTTCCTTTAAATCTTTCAAGAAACTGAGAATTATGAGTATGGTTGATAAAAGAAGGTTCAATATCATTCAAATATTGTGAAAAGTTGGGATTAAAAGGATCCATTTGTTTCAAATATTAAAGAAAATAACACAACAATTTTTTTTTTCAAATTAATTGAAAAACAAATATAATTAAAACACTAATTTTAAAACTAACGCTTTAAGTTAAATTTTTAGAATAAAAGTGTTTTAACTCTTGGATAAATTAACGCGTTTTAGAATATTTTTTTAATAAAATGTGTTATAGAATATTTTATTAACGTGTTTTAAAACGTTAACGTTCACATTACAGGAGTTTATTAAAAATTAACATGTTTTAGAACAACGGGTTTATGGATAATAAACTAATGCATTTTATTTGAATAAAGTTTTAGAATAATAAACTAACGCGTTTTATTTGAATAATAATAAAATAACGCATATTTTACTTTATTTGAATAACGTTTTAGAATTAATTATTATAAAACGTTTTAGAAATAAACTAACGCAATCCAAATAAACGTTTTATTCATATAAACTAACGTTTATTATTATGGAAAAATTGGTAAAAATTATCCCAACTATTGCCCGTTCGCTCAAAATAATCCCAACTATGGATTATTTTTAAAAAATACGAACTTTGGGGGTCATTTGCTTTTATTGGTCCTAAACGGTCACCCGTAACCAGTTATAACAGCTTAAGGGGGACACGTGTCACCACGTGATTTGTTGAAAAAAACTTAAGAAAAAAAAACCTAGCCCTACCCATTGACCACCCTCCCCACCACCACCCATGATCGACGACCCCTTTCTAGAGCCCCCTCCCCACCCTCTCCCACCTCCACCGAACCCACGTTGGGTTTTGCGGTGTCCGATACCGCGCGGAAATAAAACCTGCAAAATGGATTGCATGCATAATAATTAACATGCAATTAAGGAAAACATAAACACATAAAGCGAAGATAGAGAAAGAAGCTCACCCTTGATGCATGCTTCGCTCGTAACTCGAGCTCGGACTTGGAAAA